CTTGGGTGACACTTTCCCTGATGACATGTTGCTATACGCTGATTGGGGGCGCCCTCAAATGGGCGAAGCAGAGAGGGGGGCTCACGTCGGAGTGGATTGGGCTCACGACGGACTACCAGACCTTCTCGATGGGGCTCTCGGAGAAGAGGGCACGCTGGCTCATAGATTGGGTAGGATCCCTGCGGTCTCGCAAAGAGGTGGAGTACAGAGAGTTTTCGGCTGGGCTGGGAAGGCTGGGCTTTGCAGCACTGGCCCTCCCTTGGGAACGGCCGCTGCTTGGACCGCTTTATGCTTGGTCATCGGCAATTCAGTCAAACTTTAACGGTCTGTTCAATTCATTTTGGATTGGATTTCACAGAGGCTCAAGGCAGGGGGCCACATGGAGAGAGTCAGGAGGCCTTCAGTCCAATGTGGCAATCCATTGAAGATATGGACAGACGCCAAGGCCACTGATCAGGCTGCCTGGATTGGAGGGTGGTTGGAGGAGAGTGCTGACAGCAAAGCATGCCGGTGGTTTTCCCTGCGTGTCACAGAGTTGAGTGCTCCTTGGCTCTATTACCGGGGGAGAAATCCCAAGAGAGTGATCGCGGCCTTGGAGCTACTGGCGACGCTGGTGGCGATGAAGCTGTGGCTGACAAAGGCAGGGAGCTCGGCTGAGGTCTTTGCTGAGGCCTTCACGGACAACCGTGGCAACGCCTTCATCCTCAAGAAGGGACTCTCAACCAAGTACCCGGTCACACTCTTGGTGATTGAAGTTGCGGAGACTCTCCGAAGATGTGATGCTTTTGCGACGCTCACATGGGTGAGGAGGGACGGCAACGTCCTTGCAGACGCATTGACCAATGAGGACTTCAGCGCATTCGACCTCCAGAGGAGAGAAGTGGTTGATGAAAAGGAACTACAGTGGCACGTCATGACAGAGCTGCTGAAGGGGAGTGAGGACTTGTTCAATGAGATCAAGGCCCACAAAGAAAACAAAAAGAACACCAAGTCCATGCCAGGCTTGGTGAAGAAGAAGACGAACAAGTTTTTCGGTCGGTGGAAATCCTGACTGAAAATGGGAAGATCTGCCTCCGGGACGCTCCTGGAGGCAGACGGCAGGAGTTTCGTTCCAAACGCCCGAAGAAAAAGAGCGTATTGTTTCGCTGCTTTGATTGGGGTTTCGTGTACAAGCCTCCTAATGCAGAATCTTACCTTGCATAGGAAAGCATTCTTTGGTATCCTGCTGCGTGGTTACCTGATGCAAACAAGAATGTGCGTAGTTGAATAGAGTTTCAGGTGCTTTTCTCGATCTTCAATGCATGGAACACTCACATCTAATCCTATATACAGCATTCATTTGAGAGATCCATCCGCATCACTGAAAATCAAGGATTCAGCCTTTACTCAAAGTGGTTCAGTGTCGCAGATGTAGCTGCATGTTACAAATAAGGAACCAAAATGATTGCACAGGATTGCTGAAGATCTTACTCCACTCATGGAGAAAGCGCACCTTCTGGGCAAGTCGAGGTCCAAAGTGCTGAGCCAAGTTGGAAGTTGGGGAGCGCTTGTCCGACTGGCCCGTAAGATGCATGGAATCCAGAGGCCCTTGGTTCTCACACAGGACGTATAAGGGATGTTGAGGCAAAGTCAACCACATTTTGGGATCAGGCAGAGGAGGCAGATGTTTTTTTTTTTGGAAGTTCAAGTTCTTGGGGCTCAACGTCCGTACAGCTGGCCTTGCTTCTCTCGGAGGAACCTGGCCTTGCTAGAGCGATGATGCGATTCTGCATGGATGGGCATTTTGCACAGCACAAAACTATGATATGCTATAGCTATGTTCATTCCTCGTGCTTTCAGCCTGACCAACATACGTAATTGGCATCACAAGCAACCAACAAGATTCAGCCAGCTACGTGTGATGGATTTAGAATTGTTTCAAGATAGTCGAAGACACCATGACTGATTTGGTGATTCATCACACCCCTTTCACACGAGATGCTCTGGACTGCATGCCCATCTATATATTCTGGCAAGTACAGTTGCGGACAGCCTGCGTTTACGATTTCACTGCATGCCAGATTGCTGGCTCAGATTTGTAAAGTTCAGGTGCCCGAGATTGTGTCATTGAATCGCACGGTTGACTTCGAAGCTGCTCTAGCACTCTTTTGGATGACAAATCCTGGCGAATTCTTGTGGTGACACAACCAGGACTTCAAAGATCTATTTTGGTGTTTGAAGTTACAAGCTCTTTCAACAGCGAGAACCAAATGCCATGCTCGACAAAGGAATGAGAACCGTTTGCACACTCTGCCCAGTTTGCACTGTACGATATTGGTGTAAAAGGCGTTTTACGGCATTTTGTTTCGCACCGCATGACAACAAGATTCATGACATCACGAATGTCGTATCACATGAACAACCCCCAATAAAATCAAGACATCACGATGCAGTACCATCGCCGTCGCTACGGTGAAAGGGTTACCCGCTCCAACACTGCAAAGACATACTACTAGCTTTTTGTTACTACTAGTAAGGCACCTGTTACTACTAGCTTTTTGTTACTGTACCAAATATGTTGGCCTGGACACCGATGGCCCATATCGACTCATTGCACATTGCACGACCACATCAAACATCGTCAGCAAACACTCGTCGTCGTCTGTGGTTTATGGTTTTGACATTTCCGCCCATTGGCCCTGCCACGGGATCAACTTGGTGCTCGGATTCTTCGGTTGTTCTGCACTTGCACAAATGAACATATATGAAGAGATGTCATCACACGGGCAGTTTCGGAGCATCGCCACGATACCAAAATGAGTGGAGATGTTTTCCAGGGGCATGTAACCAATCTTGCACCCCGAAAGCATGAACCTGCTTGCTTTTGCAAAACAGTTGGTAACTTCTTCACGTTTGTCAAGCTGCCGCTTTTTGTGGGTGGGTGAATTTCGGCCTGACTTTTGGAGTGCAAGGTTGGTCATCCCCTTCTCAATCCTCCTCACACCTTTGTGGGTTTGTAGGGACAGAAGGGTGGGCCATGGGGCTCTGCATACACCGGAAATACCTCATGTTCAATTTTATGGTATTCTGTTTGTACTACAGCATGAACCGACAATGATCTCACTATGAGTCATCAGAGTCATCAGACATCCGGTGCATGCCCTTTGCACTCATGCTGTCTCGAAGAGAAAGCCGAGAGAGAATCAGATTTGATATCTTAGAACTTTTTTGCTGTCTAGGGGAATCTCAAGTTGACCCGTCCCACATGTTTTCCAGTGCCAGCTTGGATTAGGACCGCCAGGCCACCCAACCAACGAAGGAGTTTGATATCAAAACTCACAACCCTTTTCGTTTGCAAGTGTTTAAAGTCCATAAGGATCCAATAATGTTCCCTCGTGTTCTTATGTTTGACAGAATCTGTGTCCATCTTGAGCTGGTGGTGGGATGGGTTGACGAGTTCTTTCGTGCAAGCCTTTAGTGCTGACTCGTGCGCTGGTGGCGCTGAGTGGGACATAGGCAGTGAGCGTTGCTACTCAAGAATCCCGACATCCACTTCTTTTTGTCCGCCACTGGCAGACCTAACAGCTACCCGCAAGAACACGCAAGATGTTCAATAGCGGCGCCCGTAATGGTTTGATTGAGAACCCGTCCGGATGGCCTTATGCTACAAGGCAAAAACCTCAGCCCATGAATTCCCTCATGTTTGTTCCACAGTATATAGATAGAACGGGTGGTATTGTATTTCTTACGTTTACATGGGTTGGTGCAATTGGGATTCTTGCTTCCGTCTATACTGTCCATACATATAGCAAGCTGGTAGCAATGGTTCCTGGTGCCGCAACCTCAGGAGCAGTCAAGCTCGGATTGTCGGTGTTGTCAGTGTAACCCTATGGAAGATTGGGATGCTAGCATTGAACTTGTGCTTTTGATGTTTGCCAGTCATTGTTTCCCAGAATGGAGGTTCTTCCGGAGTGACTACTTTATTTTATACTGTATGTAGATCAGCTCATATGAATGACATTACAACAGTTGGCTGTTGTTTTTTCCAACAAACTTATTGATGGCAGTTCTATGGAATGCTTACACCGCACTGAAGACCATATTGTAACGGAATTGCCGGAAGCTTCTGATCGTCTTTGACACTTCTGCATTTCCGTGGCGAAACTGCGCCAGGATTCCCTGCACTTCTTGGTGCTCCTGAGCATGTCCTCCAAAAGCGTCGGTCTCTCCCTTTCATTTTCGATTCGTTGCATTTACACTCATACTCGTTCCATGTCGTGAGTGACACCGTCGCTTCATCAAAATGCCAGGTAGAGGTGGATCGCCACAAGGAAGCCGAGGTAAGCAGGGGCACTGAACTCGACATGATCGCTTTGTTTTGTTTCCATTTGTTCTAGCCAAAGTATGCTGCATCATCAAATAGTGTTTGGCCTGGAAGCCTTCACCCCTAAAACATGTTGTTCGAACTAAAAGGTGTCCATCTGGTACTACTGTAGAGGACATTAGAGGACTCAACTGTCTCACCTCAGGCTGCTGCGCCAGTGGCCGACCTTCGATGCCCTGGAGGTACAACGCCATCGACATATATTGGATTTAGTAGATTTAGTAGTTTGGGTTTAAATACTGTAGATTGCCAAAGGCTTTTTTTGCATCTGCAGCATATGGACCCAAGTTCGGCTCCTTGAGCAAACAAGCATTCAATTCACACATTGTCCCTGTAGGATCCTTGAAATGTAGAATCCAGGGATGGGTGAAAGCAAGCCGTGTAGGCATAGAAAGGCTCATGTGTTCCATGAGGCTAGGTGAGAATGCATGCCTTGCCATCCTTGCCCCAAAAGACGCTGTTTACACAAGAAACAAACAGTAGATGCTAGTCACTGCTAGGCTTTTTATATAACTGCAATTCCGATGCCAGGCTCCAGCAGCTGGGAGCGTTTAGTTGGGGGCTTAGCGCAAATAGCCATCCAACATCCTCCAGGTTTTCGTCGTCTCGTTTCACTTTTTCCATCATTGTTGGAGTGGCGCCATGAAGCTGAATTGATCCAAGTCACTATATAGTTCGTTTAAGCCGAGAATCAACGCTGCTCTTACCCGCGTTTATGTTGGCTCAGAAGTGTTCCCACCAAAAATCGACGCAGAGGGAAAACCAGAGACATCATGTTCAGCTTTTGGTCTCTTGCCATCTCCCTTTGGGGCTTCGGAGTTGCACAGGCACAGTTCCTTGCACTCCAAAGCAAGCCAGCCTCGGAGCAGACAGAGCTTGAGAAGTTGCGAGAAGAGTTGAAGTACTGGAAGTTTCGCTATGGGAACCTACTGGACATGTATAGCGAGCTCAGCAGCCAGCCGACCTTGATCGAAGACTTGCCCTTGGATGAGAGGACCTTTATGCCAGGCAACGTCCAACATTGCCGAAACTCAGTTGCTGCCGTCACTCCGACACAGGGCACCAACCCAGAGTCTGAGCCGAAGATTGAGTACAGCAACTACAGCTATGTGGTGTACTCTCCAGGAAGCCGCTATGCGGCCAATCTTAAGAAGTCCTTGGATGCCGCAGATGCCACCTTGGAGTCAGTGAAGGCGTTGGAATTTCAAGGTCAAGTCCCTGCCATTATGTTTGACATCGACAACACTTTGGCATATACGGGCTTCAACGACACCGACATCCTGGGCAAGGCACCTCCTATGCACCGTGCAGTGGATTTTGCGAAACGCTGGTGCCGCTTCGGGGCCGAAAAGGCAGACGAGGACTCGAAAGCAGCGCCCTTCGAGTGCTTTTTCATCACGGCCCGATACTGCACCAGTTTGAAGGCAAAGGCTACGAAGCTTTGGGTCATGGAGAACTTCCCGGTGGATGAGGAGTGGATGCAGAAGCATGTTTTCATGACAGGTGGCATTGGTGGCTGCAAGTCGCAGGGCTGTTCCGTTGCGTACAAGTCGGTCCTCAGGAACTGGCTCCATGCTCACCAAAACATCTATTGGGTTATGAGTGTGGGCGATCAGTTGACTGACAGTGCTGGATCTCAGTCGGGGGTTCGGGTAAAGGTGCCGAACTTTTGGTTCGACTCCAGCGTAGTGCCCAACCCACAAGAGAACGGCGGAGAAATCCGCCTGCAGGCTGACAGAAGCTTCGGCCCAAATACGGATGAGTGCAAGTTGAAGTGCGTCATCGGTCCTGACCACGAATGCATTGATGCTGGCATGAACAACGATGCCATCCACAAATTCACTGAGCTTGAGTACTGCTTAGCGCAGGATGCTCAAAAGGCACCAGACCAAGTCATGGGGTGCACAATCAATCTCATGACCTTGGAGAGGACTTGCTGAGCTGCTGACGTGCTTCATCACTTCCGGTGACACAGAGAGCTGCTTTGACGCTTTTGCTGGTTCAACCTGGTTGTACAGGTCCAAGAGACAAATGCTTTGAACACTTTTGACCAGCGAAGGTTGTTGCTCGCGTGGGCGAGCCTCCTTGTACGTCTCCAAAATCAAGGGATTTCTGGAAGACCTCGCCAAAGTGCGGCAAATTCAGATCGTGCGGGTTGTGGGTCTGATCTTGTTTGGTCCCATGCCATATCGCTCTTGTCAAAAGACACTCCACTCTGCCATCCTTGATGGCGCCTTGGGGGGGTTGAAACTCGAAGTTGACACACGCTTTAGGCTTTTGAGATGCTAAAAACCGAGCTAAGGACCGCTCTAAGATGCTCGACATTTGCTGCGCAAACGGAGCCACAAAGAAGCTCAAACGGCTCGGTTCCTCCCGAATGACGGGGCATCAACAATCTTGCGATCTGCCAATGAGCGATCTCATATACAGTGTCCTGGAAAACCTTTCGGCGATGTGCCACACGGTTTGCTGACGAACTTTGGCATATTTTGGCGATGGCGCCCCAAAGAAATTGTTCTTTGTGAGTAAAAGGCACATCTGAGATCTTGGGGATCCAGGTGGACACTTGGAGACGGTTCAAGCCACGTGATGAGACAAAGGTATACTATGCTGGATTTTCTTCGATTGATTGCTTGTTCAGGCGACACCACACACAGAGATTTGCACAAATGCCAGACCATGCGAAATCATTTCGACGTGCTCTTGCCCGCAATGCTCACCCAAGCTTCAGCATGCATTTTTGGGGCAACCATCAAAGCCAATACGCTTGCCAAGATTGGATATTTCACAGAGCCCCAAAGTTCCTACTTGCTAGATGGAGAAACAAAAGAATTCCCAAGCAGGAACAATTGCCCGAAGGCTGTCTAGTGCAGTACAGGCTTGGTGGAGAATATGGAAAGTAGTGAGTCCGCAAAGTCACTAGGTCAGATTTAATTCAGAAATAAAGTAATTTGGCCATGAGCGACCCCCCTCCACCACCAGAGGAGGAGGAGGAGCCGGAGGACGGCAACCCCCGGATGAAATTTGCAGGTGCAATTGGAAGCACTTGGGTAGGAAGGCTTGAAGAGCCAGGCATAAGTTGAAAATGCTTGAGTGGGATCAAAAGCTACTAATAGAAAATACAGTTTTGACATCGCGGTTGTTTTTTTCTGTTTCGATTTGTGTCCTTGTACGATGGTAATTTGTGTTTTTGTATTGAAGAACCGTGTTGTGTCATCGTCATTTGATCTAGAATCGTGGTGGTCCGAGAGCCTGAAAGAATTCCAGAAGAGGCTGAACTTTGTGCTTTGTTTTGTTTTTAACCCCAAGCACAGACCTTTTGGGAATGGAGGAACGGACCGAAATGGAAATTGAGCCGTCCTTTATCTAAGCAACCTTAAGAGCAAGATGTCTTTGTACATTCACTGCGACAAGGAACTTTTTGGAGGCGATGATGCTGAAGCAGAGGAGCAATGCCACGATAGTAAGAGAAGCCATTTGCGGATTGTTGCAGCTTTCAGATGCTTTTAATTTTTCTGCAAGTGGATGGAGTGTCTCTTCAATAAGGGAAAGTCAGTGACCCTGGTGACAGTTTGTTGGAGCTTGTCTTGAGGGAAAGGGTGACATCGAGAGTCGTGACGGATATCAGTTACCCAACCAACTCGAGACAAATTCAACCACATGATTTTGTCACATGATATCCATGTGTGCGTGCTTTCTTGATGGCTTTCTTTGACCTTTCTAAGTTGTTAGTTGGTTTGATTTGGTTTGGATTGGATTGGTTTGGATTGATTTGGTGTGTTGTTTGTTGGTTGGTGGGTTGGTTTTGGTTTTGGGTTTATATTTTGAGTTTGGTCTGGTCTGGTTTAGCTTGGTTTGTGTGTTGGTTGGTTGGTTGGTTGCTTGGTTGCTTGCTTGGTTGCTTGGTTGCTTGGCTTGGCTTGGCTTGATTTGGTTTGGTTTGGTTCGGTTTGGTGTGCGTGTTTTGTTTTGTTTGTTTGTTTGCTCCTCAAAGACTGTATATACTGTTTACTCACTGTACAGGCAGTAAATATCGAACACTGCAAAGTGTTGTGCCATATTGCTGGACTTGTTTTGATTTCTTGCATTCCAACTTGAGTGTTTTTCGGACTTAGAGCCAGCTGGTTGCGGGCGACTATAGCTCACGCACAGAACAGATGTGATAATTGAAGTCAAGATCGGCTGATTTTGGTGATCGAAAGAGACTTTGCCTTGCAAGTACTCTGCGAAGAGATGAGTTTCTACTCTTTCAGCCTGGGCATTCCATCTTCCTTGCACTTCATTGCACTTCCTTTTTGGACCCACACTCCCTGCAAACTGTTTCCAAACACTTAGCATGTTCCTTTGTTTTGCCATGGAACATCCACAAGCATTGATTTCTGCACGTGCACCTGCCGATTTTGTCTCAGCGACTGGAGGAGCCAGATGTGGAAGCGCTGTTCGGCTCCAGCGAAGAAGGTCGAATGAGCGACTGTGCTGTGCCACGCTAGTAGTAACAGATGCCTTACTAGTAGGAACAAGAAGCTATTAGAAACAAGTGCCTTACTAGTAGTAACAAAAAGCTATTAGCGACTGTGCTTTGATACCACCTTGCTGCATTTCTGGCCGTCAGAACCTGGAGAAGCTGAGCTGTTTGGAGCATCCGACGAGGCTCACAAACTAGCGGAAGTGATGCTTTGATCATGTCCTTGGATATTTATTGCCTTGTGAACCACTGGTATGATTTGCACAGTCCTTGCCATGTTGTATATGCAGTATATAGCCATGGGATGTATATGATTATATCATATATACAAATGTATATGTATATGGTACTGTAGTAATTAAGTTGTGTTTCATATTGTTGCAAGGACCTCTTTCCAGTGGGAGTTGGGGTTACCATGGGGTTCTATCTACTGACCTGACCTCACCTGACCTCACCACCTTAGTCCTATCCTATCCTATCATATATCCTATCCTATCCTGTCCTGTCCTGTCCTATCTATTTATATATCTATCTATTTATCTATTTATCTATCTATCTATCTATCTATCTATCTATGTACCTATCTATCTGCGCATACGCACACTGAGATGCACAGCCTTAAGTATTTCGCAAGGGTCAGCCTGACGATTGCATCACTGTCATTCCTTCAATACGGTGCAACAAGCACCAGCAATACACGACCCACTTGATTCTATTGTTTACCAGAGGTTTTTTGGTACAGTAAGATAAATGCATTTTGTTGAACCAGAACATGTAACCTAAGATGTTCAGAGATTTTGTGAGGTGGCTTTTAAGTTAAAAAGTCTAATTTAAAGATAATAGCTTAGTTTAGCGTCTTCATTTTTTTGGAATATGTGTAATTCTTATGTTGACTACGTTTTTTGTTTCATTTAGTTTCTGGCACTGTTGATACAATTAAACATGCGTGTTCTTTGTGTGTGTTTCCAACATGTTTTTTTCGTGATGAGCAATCTATGAAACGGTTCCACACATTTCGTGCTTCCTTCCAATGTTGAAATGGTTTTTTCAGTTCATTGTCTTCAGGAAATTATTCCTGACGCTTCGCGTCGACCGCCGCCCACACCTTCTTTTTTTTTCGGTCGTCTGGGGAAAGACTGCTGGAGTGGACAGGGGAGGTCGGGAGCGGTGTCCAAAGAGATGGCTTGTTTGCCGCAGCGTCTATGGCCATGTTGCGTTAGGCACAAGTTCGCTCGTTTGGTGGCCATGTTAAAGCCAATTCAGGCTCCAAGTTCGACCGTTTTGTGGCCTTGCCCCCGCTTGGTTAGTCCACATTACATCATGTCAAGGTTTGGTGACCCTGTGCTGAGGCTACGTTGGTTTTTTGCAACAATGTACTTCCTATAATGCTGGTTATGCGTTGCTGGTCAGGAGGGTTTTTCAGCATCGTGGGTGTCCGTTTTTTGGCTTGTTTGGGTTCTTGCAGAAATAGTCCCCGAGACAAAGAAAGGGCCCCCCCCTAGGAGAGCTATGAACTGATCACGATGTGATGATTGACTGACGATGACTCCAGCTTGACCCGCCCCTAACACGCCCTGCACCGCAAGCGGTGTGGGCGGATTTGAACTCTGTGCACTAATTCAGTAATTGTGCACAGTACGGTGTTGATTTCCCCTGTCTCTAGTGACCCTATTGAGACCGTCTCATTTATCACAGCAACGTGTCCTTTTACCGTAGTCATGAAGCAGAATAAATGCACTCCTTGGTACACCCCGAGGAAGCATGTCAGCGTGTCAGTTGGTTCATAGTTCTTTTTTTTCCGTTTCATGTTTAATTATACAATCATGTGTGTGTTTCATTAATATTCATATAACCGAAGAATTTATGTGAAATTGCTTGTTCAAGTGGATGCGTTATTTGGTAATCCTGAAAGAGTTATGATCAGAGATAGCACCAGTGTTGTTTTTAATCTCTACAGTCAAAAAGGCTTGATGATGAAGGTTTACATGAAGTGCTCCAGGAGGTAAAGAAAGACATGTTGGCTCAATGTCGAACAAGTTGTAGGTTCAGCATCCAGTTTGCATTTTGTAAAAGTTTTTCATTTACACTTTACTAACTTATATGACTCCACTCGAGCGGGTAGTCAATTGAAAAGACACCTGACTTCATGAAACTAAAGAAAACGTTTATCAACATTAAGAACCAAGATGACACATGTTTCAATTGTTTAGCTCAATGAACATACACAATTGGATTAGCAAACGTCATCCTGAAGAGATGGTTCATTACAACTTATAACAAACACATGCATGTAGAACTGGAAGGGTGCAAACTATTCTGCTGGTATCAGAGGCGTTGACAGATTTAAGTTTTGAACCAGGTTGCAATTATCATCAATTATCTACATGTTAAATGATGACAAGGTTATTGTGTGTAAAGAACAGCTTAAGTGAAATATACATCAACTTCTTTGAACAGTTGACACCCCTTTTGGTAGATATTGGTGGGGGGCCTAACATATCTTAAATGTATACACATATATCATATTCAAGGCGTCTTGTTGTACAAACAGAAGTAGGCAAGGGACATTTCACAGCACGACAGGGCAACTTAAAAATGGAGACGCCATGGCCAATTGGTCAATCTGGTGAAATGTTTCTTTCTAGCTGCAGTGATGCAGGAAGCCCCAAGTGGCCCTGCAGCCCGAGCAGCCTCTGCAAGATCAGAGGTCAGTGCAATGGCCGTAGCCTTGATGAACAA